AAGTAATTTCAGGGGTGAAGGGGGGAAAATGCCAACTGCAAGACACATTGAACTTAAGCAAAGAAACCCTTTGCTTTTTCTTAGGACCATGATACCAGTGGGTCTGTGTCTGTATCTGGTGTTTCCTCATCACCTTCTCTGATCTTTCTACCTCATTCAGATACATACTTTCACAGAATGGTTTTGTGAATTTCAAGAGCACCTTAATGAAATTTTGTGTTGTTACTGACAGCATCCTTTTCACTATTTGGTCATTTTCTTTTTGTAAAATGATTATAAGAGGCAAAATGCTAATGTCAGATAGTTTTATTTTCCCTTTGTACCTTATCTTATTTTTCTGTTGTAGTACCAACATTTATTCTTTTCAGGATAGTGTTATATATTATACAGGGCCAAATCTTTGATTGGAGTGACAAAAATAAGGTATGTGTTTATTTATACACACACTCACATTCTTCTCTGGAAGGAGTTGCCCATGGAAAGATCTGATGTTCAAACCTTTTGTTAGGCATGTACATCTTTTTTCAAATGTGAACTCAAGGGATAATTCCCTTTGAATTCCTTTTTTGATTCAGCAACAATCTGCAAATGGCATGGCCTGCAGCAACTCTAATCAATTTTCTTCTAAATTGAAAATATGTAACCCCAACAAACTGGACTTTACTTTTAGACAGTAAGCCTAGTTCTCTCCTTGCAGGTGGCCTGCTTGCAGTGGAAATAGCTCAATAGCCTTACACAGTTAATGAGTACACCTAGTGCCCATCATGCCCGACTTTTTGATGATTTTACTGTAAGCAGTAAAACGAACCTTTGTAGCAAGCCTTCTAGTACATTGTGTTCCCTGAAACAAAAAACCAAGAATTATGTAGCTGCCACATTTTCTTCTTGTTTCCATCATTAACTGCTGCAATGCAGGCCTATGCGTTCTACTGCTATATCAAAGCACCAAAGCAAATTTAGTTCTCCCATGTACTGACACTACTCAGTAACCATGCAACAATGGTTAAGGCATTTTAGTGTTAGATGAAAATGAATTTTTAAGGGCAGTTAGTTATTTTCTTCTGGGGCATTACTGTTAGTAGACCTTTCCAAAATCACAGTGGAAGTGGGGTACACTGTGGCTCCTTTAATCTTGAAGGTTTCCCTGTGCCGCCTTGAAAGAACCACTGATTCTTTATTTTAATCAGAGCAAGTGTAAGACTAGGTCATGTTAACCTTGGTATTTAAATGATGCTCTCTCAGCCAGCTAGCATCATCTTGTTCCTCTCCCTTCAGAACCGCAGAGGTTTTTCTTATCCCCACAATGTTGCAGACATCTGGGTTCTACTCATGAACCCAAACTTCTGTACCCATCCACAATCTCCTGTTCTCTTGGTCATTTGTCCAAAACCATTTTTCATCGTAAAATGTACTAAATAACCCTTGATATTATTTATAATATACAACAGGGCTGTTGAAATGGTGGTCTGTGGGCCTTGTAACTGCCTCTCCCACAGTTGTATGGTGGGGGAGAGCCTAGGAGGGCTATGAACCACTGATGCTGCTTGTGGGGCAGGGATGGGAGACGGGGGCATGGAGCCTAGGGGCATCCACCCTGTTTCTACCTTGGTTCTGTTAGGTGGCATCAATTTGGTCCTCTATTTTGCTAATATACCTTGATCCTGGCAGGCCTGCTGATGGCTGAGTGCATGTCTATACCATACAAAAAACTAGAATTCTTGGTTCCAAAATTATACCTTTTATTAGACCAACTGGAAAATGGCAAAAAATTGTCCTTTTCTGCAAGCTTTTGGGATCAAAGTCCCTTCATCAGGCTCTGGGAAAAGTATAGATGGTACAAGATGGTAAAAAGCCCCCATAGGTAGAAAATAAACTTAATTTTTGCACAGAGGGAGCTGAAGATGGAAAGTTGTCCCTCTGCCACCAAATGCTATGGGCTGCTGTCTTTGCATCACTGCTGCTTTCAGGCTTCCTTCTAAGGCATCCCATTGTAACTTTAGTTACTCAGTAGGGGTGTAGTACTTTAGGACTTTACTTGTTCATGGTTTTCTTAACTTATTCAAATACCTACTCTCAGGTCACTGACCATTTCCATAGTGCATCATTTTGTCCTAAATGTCTCAAGGATTCACTAACAGATGCGCACAGAATTTGAAAAGATAGCTGTCTTTTCTTATAAATTGCTGGACTCTCTTCACAATCTTTGGTCTGGGCAATTACTTAATGGATCTGTTTCTCAGGGTCTGGCTGCAGTCCTTCAGAAATCAACAGATATTGTAAGTAGAGGACCTCAGTTCTCCTCAACTTCATCTTGTCTCTTTTAAGCTTAATATTCCACTCCCACCACCTGTTTAGCTGTTGACAACTTCATTCCATTGTCATGGATTGCCACCTCCTTCTACAATGAGAATATCACTACATATAACATTGCTGCCTGGATTTTCCTTCTGTACCCATCTTAGTTTCTCTACTGGAACATCTCAAGGGTCAGGCTGCTACTTACAAGTATTCCTGCCCAAAGATGTGGTAAACGTTAGGTGGTTGGATTGTTCAGTTATCTTAATAAGCCAGGACTAATTCTTAATGGCAAAGCAAGTAATGCTTTTATCCTGTGCAAATAGGGTAATACATCCACAATCTTTTGATAATGAGTAGTGACAGATATCTTTTCAATGTTCTGTTCAGTAATTCAGGGTCAATATGCATCCTCAGCTTATCTGAAGGGACTTTTTTTTTCTTACCCACAGAATATATCATAGTACATTTACATTGCACATGGCATAGGGTACAGATACCTGATCTAGCTTCAAAAGTTAGCTCTGGAAGCAACCTACCTGCAACAGCACAGACCTCCATGTGGGCTAATTCACTCTGTTTCTTCACAGGGTGGCTTTATTCCTGGCAACTGTCACTTATTTTCTTCTAATAGTTAAATCTCTGCTCCTCAATTTAACAAGCTTTGGTGGGTTGCAAGACAACCTTTTTTTAGCTAACTGTAGGGCTCCAATTCCTCATTTAAGGGACTGCTCTAGCACCTGCCCTTTGGCACACACCATACTGAGATTTCTGTCTGTAAGTGCTCCAGGCCTGTTAGCATCGCCTTGCCTTGCTTCCTGCAGGGATCCCTTGGTTTCTGGTCCTTGACACCAGGCCCTGCTTTGTCTCTCCTGCATTCCAGTCTTTTGCTGTAGACTTGACTTGGCATCTGACTAGACTTTGTCCATAGCCTGGTATCTCAAGCACACCTCTTGTTCTTGCCTTCTTTGTTAGATCCTGACTTCTGCGTACTGCTAGGACCTTTTGCTCTAGGAGCTGGGATGAACTACTGTAGCACATTATAATATTCTCATTCTTATTTTTCCCTAAGAGACCACAAAACCCGGTATCTTCACTTTTCCAGATCTATTACCTTGCATGTTCAGCTCTGCCCACAAGTTTTATTTTAATATGCATGTTTATACAAGGGTTTTTAGCTTGAATACTAGCATTCCTGAATATCTGAATTCCCCAGCTGCTTTATATTTGTTTTTCTTCGCTGCTTTCAGTGCTTTTTAATCACACTTTCTTCCTTACTGTGAATTTTACAAAACTGATGATTTCCATCATGTTTCATGTACAGTGTTCTGGGTAATAAAAGTCATACAACTAAATTGATTCATCATTAAAAACTATTTATAGACATGCAGGGTAGACGCATGTTCTGGTGCCTCCCCCAAAGTCTTCCCTCTTGCAGTTTGTTGTTCTATTTGAAGTTTTATGCAATTTGCTAGAGTTACATCATTGCAATGGTTTTTACTGTTAACAGTTTTTAATCAATGATTCTAACAATCTTAAATCATTTTCTAAGTAGGTTTAAGGCTGGGAATTCCCTTAGTTTCACAAAATATATCAAAAGCTTCATGAATATTAAGCAAGAAAATGAAATATAGTGTTAGAACATCAGTGTTGTCTGGGGTTATTGGTGTCACTGTTGCTGTCATCCTCGTGGGCATTATTGATGGGTTCTCAGTGTTGAAGTCTCAGGAACTGCAGTGTCTGCAAGTCACAGCCAGGAGATCTCAACACTAATTTTTGCCTTAAAGAGAGACCACAGGCTTAGTTTGGTGGGAAAGATTTGGCCAGCATTATTGTCTACAAGCACAGCCCTAACACATTTTGGCTTAACAAGTACATCAGACCCATTTGTACTTGTGACAAGGCAGTCAGCACACCACCACACAGGCTCCCCCCAGGCCACTACAAAAGTCCCCTGCTTTCCAAATCTTTTTATACAATAAGCAAAACGAATTACATATTCCATCTGTATCTTGATGGGGGCTGGAGCATCCAGGGGTGCTGTGAGGTCCTTTGAAGGGTGCTGCAAGGTGTGAGGTGATAAAATTGCAGGCTCAGATTCAGGCTACCTGGCTGCTCCCCTTCCTCCCCCCACCCAGTGCCCGACCCCTGTGCCAGGAGGTAAGCACCACACTCAACCAGTTCCTTTTTGAATTGGGGGGGGGGCGGGAGGGGGCTGCTCAGTTCCCAAGCCTGATGGGGTGGGGGCGGGGAAGCCCCGAGTGTAGAAAGCCTGAGCCCCGCTAATATAAGGTGGAGCTTCCCCCAGGCGGCGGCGGCAGGAAGACTCATTCAAATCCCGAGGGCCGAGCAGGGAGGGCAGCTCCCGAGACCAGTGATAGCGGGTCCGGCCCATTCATAGGCTAGGACTTGACTAAATCTCTGCGCTTGCAGAGACGCCGGCCCGCCACTGCCTAGCTCAGCACGCGTCGCGTTCTGATAGCTGCGGACTGAGCCACGATTGGCCGCGGCTAGACGCCACGCTGCCCTTTGATTGGCGTGAGTTCTCCCACCTCCCCGCGCGCCTGCGTTCCGATTGGCTCGGCCTGTCAGTGCCGGAGGCGGATTGGCTACGGCTTCGCCCTGTCGAGTAGTCTGATTGGCTCGGGCGGGGAGGCGCGCGCGTGCCACAGAGAGCACCTGCTCCTCGGCGCCTGCATCCCTCTGAGCTTCGGGCAGGTGGCGCATGCGCCGTTTGGGCTGAGGAAAAGCAGCTGGGCTTTGCCAGTGAGCGGCTTGCGGGACTGGCTCGCCGGTAAATCCGCGCGGGCCCGGGCTGGAATGGGGGGGAGGGGGCGCGACGCCGTGTGAAAGGGGCACGCGGGCAGAGCCTGGAGGACCACCCCCACGGGGACGCTTGCGCAGAGGCCTTAATCCCTGCGGGAGGCTGCCGCCCCTCCCTCTCCCCCTGAGGCGGGGGCTGCGTGGCGCGGCCGTTGAGAGCCGTTGGAACGGGGCGGCCCTGAGCTTTGTGAGCCCGCCCCCCTGAGGTGGGGGCTGATGCGCGGCTCGGCAGTTGGGGCCGTTCGAACGCCGCAGCCCTGAGCGTTCTGAGCCCGCTCCTCTCCCCGCGGTGGGGGCTCGCGCAGGCCCCGGCCCCCGCTCCTGCCCCCCGCCCAGCAGCGGTTAGCTGCTTTCCGTGGGGGGCATAAGCAGGACCCCTAATTCCTCGGCCGAGGAGCAGTTTGCGCGGGCTGGGGAGCGCAGAGGGTTAATCCGAGCCCATCGCTTCTCTCGTGTCGCCGCTGCTAAGCGATGAGATCAGATGATACAATCCTTCCCCCGAGGGAGGAGGAGGAGCCCTGGCTCTAGCATCCTTCTGATGCCTTGCCCTCCAGATGAGCTTATTTGTGGTGTGCTGAGAAGCTCTGTTTCATTCCAGCACTTTATGCTAGTGTTGGATCCTTGTGATCCAGATTCAAGTGAACTCATGGTCCGCTAGCAGCCCAGAATGCCTTACATCTCCCTGGCAAACCCCACCTCACAGGGTGGGTAGGCTAGCCTTGGCCGAAGCTGTGTGCCCCAGCGGAGCAGGGAGGCATGCTTTAGGGCCCACCCCCAGCCTGTGGCCTGGGACACTGCAGGCATGTGGCTGCATTTCCAGAATCAAAAGTGAATGTCTGTTCACCTGCTTATCAGTTCAATATACGCAGCTTAAATTAACCCGCAAAGGTTGAATTGATTCAGCCTCGGGCTTTTTGATGGTCTGTGCTTAGTTTGGGGGCTTCTGTGGTGCAGCTGCAGAAACCCAACAGCCAGAGCTGGCCTCGTGGAGAGGGGCTGCCAGACCAGGCAGTGCTCAAGTAAAGCTCATGTTTTTTCTTGACAAGGAGCATAGTGTTTCACTCCATTCTTCATTGGAGTTTGCAGCAAGAGAAGGTGAAGCACGTGTTTGACGCAGGCACTCAGAAAGGGAAGTGCTGCCAGTGAAGTAGCTGTTCCTGGGTATTATTTTGGGAACAAGAAGAAGGTGCAAGTTGATGGAAGGAAGCTTAGGTGGAGTAAGAGTGAGATGGCGCACAAGTGGAGATGGAAGGAGGAAGTGTGGATGTAGTCTGAAGGGCATTGTGTGTAACCCTGGGAGACCCCTAGAGAGTGGTCTTATGGGTTTGGGAGTAGGCTGGAAGAGTTTTAGAGCTGTGAGCAAGGAGGCTCTAGTGGTTTGGATTTTTTTTTCCTGTGCTTGAAAAAGATTTGATTGCCTTCTTGTGAACAGAAGTACATGAAAGAAACCTGATTCTACTACCAATCACTACACCTTACTGGAGTAATTAACAAGGCCCACATTTTGTTTAGCTGCTCAGGTAAAAAGGGACAATGCTAGCAGTCTTGTAAACTGAAGGTTGAAGGATACTACGGTTTAATGGTATTTCTGTGCTGCTTTAGCAGTGAGCATGGTCGCTGCCCTGTGTGCACCCAAGCCCACAAGCTGTGTCACATACATGGCTCTTAAAACAGCCTGAGCATGGTGCTAGGACTTGTGCTTAGGACTATTTCTGAGGCATCTGTACTACTTAATTTATGGGCTTGCATGTATATGTACTGGGCATAGGTAAGTATGGCTTATTTCTCACTGACACTTTTGGGATTGCTTTGGAGGTGGTATAGATGTATCCTAGGGACCCACTCTAGAGAAGAGTACTGTAGGAGTTGCCCTGCTTTCCATTAGAATTTGCTCTCATCTAGGTGAGATTAGTTCTATCAAGTTGTCTGGATTGGTTCATAGTTTTCTCTTAAAGCTTTTGTTAGCTAGAGCAAGTTTACTGTAATTATAAATGTCATCTAAAACAAAAATCCAAGTTTCACTTCCTGTTAGGTGGGTAAATAACATGTCCAAAGCTAAAGTTAACCATAAAAATAACGTTTAGGGCTGCTTGTGTAGAATTTTAGGGCACCTATACACGTGCATTGAGGCTGCTCTGATGTGTTGTCTGCTGAAGCATGGTAATTACTGTGCTCCAGTAGACTCCAGCATTACTCGCATCAGTGTCCCCACGTGGAAAAATGGCAGTGGGGTGCTTTAACTAAAGCTTGTTAGACAAGCTTTAGTTGAAGTGCCCTCGCTGCCATTTTAAGCATAGAGATGCTGATGCATGTCGTGCTCTGGGAGCTTTGATTGGAGTGGCTCTTGGAGCCATTCTAATTAAAGCACCCTGCCTCCTGGAGCACGTGTATAAATGCCCTTAGATCCTACTGTCCTCTCTACAACTCACTGTCCTTCTGAGCCTGCCCCATGCTTTAACCACTTAGATCCATGACTGATGTTACGTTTGTCATGTGTTATGTACAGTATTGCACAATAAATTATAATGTGCCAGATTTATCCTTGCATAAAATTGGTGAATCGGCCATAAAGAAGTTGACTGTTGAAGCAGAAACATCTTTGTGGTGCAGAAGGATCCTGCAATATCATTGTGTGGCCAGTTGGCATGTTATGATTTGTTATGCAACGTTTGCATACAATTTGCAGCAAATATAACATCTGCAGGGCTTTATGCTCTGTTGCAGTTCTGCTCAAACAGGATTATGGGCTTCTGTTTGACAACTGTGGAGGGCCTGCCTTCTTTTTTAGTCCAGTAGCTTAGTGGTTTATGTACTTCCCAAGGGAGTAGGAGGCTCCAGTTCTAGCTTCATCCTCTTTCAAGCCCCCTTTCAGGTAGTTGAAGGCTGCTATTAAGTCTCCTCTTCTTTAGCCTAAATAAGCGCAGTTCTCCCAGTCTTTCCTCATAAATCATGTCCTTCAGCCCCTCACCATTTTTGTTGCCGTCCACTGGACTCTCCAATTTGTCCACATCCTTTTGATAGTGGGGGGTCCAACACTGAACAGTACTCCAGATGTGGCCTCACCTGTGCTGAATAGAGGGAAATAATCACTTCCCTTGACCTTCTGGCAACACATCTATCAATGCAGCACATTTTGCTGTTAGTCTTCTTGGCAACCAGGGCACACTGCTGGCTCATATTCAGCTTATTGACCACTGTAACCCCCAGGTCTTTTTCTGCAGAGCTGCTGCCCAGCGAGTCAGCCCCCAGCCTGAACTGGTGCATGGGATTGTTCCAGTGCAGGACTTTGCACTTGTCCTTGTTGAACCTCATGGGATTCCTTTTGGCCCAATCCTCCAATTTGTGTAGATCACTCTGAATCCTAGCCTTACCCTATCTATTACTTCCCCTGCACTTGGTGTCATCTGCAGATTTGCAGAGGATGCACTCTATACCATCTTCCAGGTCACTTATAGAACAAAACTGGCTCCAGGACTGACCCCTGGGGCCCTCCACTTGATGCCAGCTGCCATCTAGACATCAAGCCATTGATTGCTAATATATCCCCTCTCAGGGGTGATACGTAGGGGATGTATGTGTAGCCCCTGAGCATGGCAGTGCACCCCCTGCAAAAAGGCGCCGCTGACAGTGGGTGGCGCCTACAGGTGGTCGCTGCTCACCACCCTGGCACTGATGCCACTGGCAGTGTCTGCAGGCAGTCCACTATTGCCACGGGTGGTTGCCGCTCCTGGTCAGCCCTTGCCACAACCTCCCTTCCCCCCGCCACTGATAATGCTGGCAATGGGAGCTCTATGTTTATTGTCGCCAGCACAGATGTGCCCCCCCAGCCACCAGGGGTACGCGCCATTCATGTCCTCTCTTGTGTCTGTCCAACCCCTGCCTCTTACTTTGCAGCTGCTCTGGCTCTGGTTCTGCCAGGGGCGTGGAGCACCTGGCTCAGCCAGGCAGTAGTGGTGGCTCTGGCTTCAGCTTCCAGCCCAGGTCTGGCTCAGAGGCCCAGCAGCTTGCCGCAGCACACTGCACAACTCTTCCCTCTTCTCCCCAGGCTCTGTGCGCCCCTTCCCCAGCCTTATACTGTGCAGAACTAACTTATGTTCTGTTGTGGCTTTTGCTGGATGAATACAAAATTTGTGTTATGGGGCCCAACAGAACCAAGTTGGAAGGCAGCTATTCTCCTGTTCAATGACTATGAAGAAATAAACATCTGAAGCATGCAGAAAGGATGTTTCTGACAAACATTTGAGGTTAAAATCCTGACTTTATTCAAGCCTCTGGAAGTTTAAAGAGGTTCAGACCTAGGTCTGGGTGACAAAATGATTCCTTGTTCTCTTTCTGTGATCTCATTATTCTGGCTTCAGAATTTTTAAATAAAATATTAATTCCAGAAACAGTTAAATATACTGTTGAAGTGTCAAAGCAAATTTGTTGGCTGATGGTTAATATTTTTTCTGCTTTATAAAAAAGCTGTTGTGCATGGTTTGCAGAGTTCCATTTTCAAGAGCCCCAGGAGCTGTGGTAAGATCAAGATTAGATGTTCTTTCAAATTATTTTGGTGGCTTGAAGAGATGAATGAAAGATACCTGGTTTCATAGTTTGTGTATATTGTTAGGGGGAAATCTACTTGAGGGGTGCATGATTAATGATCTTAAATAGCTTCCATATGTCTGTTGCCAGCAAGTGGCAAGTGAGCCAGCTGGTCTACAGACTTATTTTGCATTGTGTGGGTGTTGTTCTGACAAAGGCCTTGACTCTTCAGGAATCAAAAATTTTGCAGCCTTATTCTAATCTGTTCTCAGTGTTCTTTCTTTTCTGGTAGCATATGTATGCTATTGTTGCCCAGTGGTCACTTGTGATGTAGAAATGTGAATATTTCTCAAGAGTTTTTAATTAGGGCATCAATGCCAGCTTTGAAAATCATCATCAGAATTTTAAATAGATTAGGGGAACATAGGCTGGAATCCAAGTGGGAGG